TGAAAGGAAAGGAGCAACACATAGCAGCAATTCACCGGAGAGTTCCGCTTTATTAGGGAAAGGTGCTGGGTTATATAGGAAGGGGCATGAATTGATTGAGGTGTCACTTCTATGGGGCTGGTGGCTGTTGGCTAGGTGCTGGGATTGGGAGGGGAGCGAGAGGTGATTGGGCTTCAGGTGGCGCCAGCGGGAACCGAGGACCCCCGAAGAGAAGCCGGAAGTTTGCCATCTTACTGGTGGGGACCCTTCACCCATGGACAATGGTGTTCTGCTAAGTGCGGTCTTGGTTATTTTTGCTTTCCTCTGCCACTCCACCTCCTATGTCTTTCATTTTTATTTAATTTAATCAGAGCTAATGTGCATAATTTTAATGTCAAATTTCACCCACAAGCTGTAGGGAAAATGAAAGTCCCGTGGCCAGGATCCTCGCCTGACACCCGCTGTGTGTGCACGTGAGGGGACACCTAGCCCACTGCGCAGGCGCGTGCTCGCACACCCATTGGCAGAAAGCTGCTGCTGCCGGTGTCGCTGTAAAAACAGCCCCCACGTCCTGAAAGTGGAGCCCGGAGAAGAGAGCAGGGGAGCAGGAGAGCGGGGAGCAGAGGCTGCAGGCAAGGGTCGGGCCTGGGGCAGAGGCTGGGCTTGAGGCAGAGACTGAGGCTACAGGGATTCTAGCGCTTGACCTGCCACCGTGAGGGTAAGGCTGCACGAGCCCTTTATACCCTCCACCGTCAGCGGTCGTTTTTCGGTCTCACCGAATCCAGAGTGAGCTTGCCTGGGCTGAAACCCTCACGCGAGACAAAACTTAAGATGAAAAACATTTTCCTGCCCATGTTCCCCAGCTCCTGCTCCCAGCTCTGTAGAAGTCTTACCCACCTTCATCTCAGGGCTGCTCCTTCTGGTATTACTGACATTTTCCTAAACAACACATTTACCTTGTCTTTCCTTGATTTTTAGTTTTGGATGTTTTTCTATTGATTTCTCACTATTGGAGGATGAAGATTTTTCTTAATCTGTCCATCTCCTTCTCCATACACTTCCCCCAGTTCATCCTTACAATATACTTATTTTCCACTAAAATATCATCTGTAATATGGTCCCCCCTAGAACCCCGAAGAGGAGTTGTTTATGATACAAATGAGAAATATGGTGCTCCACACAGCTCCCCCATCTCTTTTTGGGTTCCTAGTGACTATTCTTGCCCCCTACATAGGGCAACTCATAAGGGAGGCTACTTATACTTTAGCAGATCTGAGGGAGGTTGAAACAATAAGCACCACAGCATGTGGTGGCTAGGTAACTATTAGTTACAGCTGTATGGGTTTTCTCATTCTGTCACCTTTTCTCCCCATCTGCTTTGTGTTCTGTGTGCCTATTACTAATAAATTATGACGGTCTTTGACATCCCTGATAACCTCCCTATCTATTCAACACGTGAGGTGTGTTTTTCTAGCAATTTTCCTTCCTGGGTCTCCGTGCTCCTGCTCTAGCCAGGACCGATTACTCTCTGGGCCTCTGCACTATTGTCTTACTGGGATTTTGGAACAGTAAACACTCATTTGCAAGCAGAGAAAAATGTGTGTGAATTGCCATCTTTAATCAGAAGCCTCTCCCTTTAATACATTGTAATCTTGATGAATTCTTATGCTTGCTTACTTTTTTTTCCTATTCAAGCTTTGCTTTTTTAATAAGATAGAAAATAATAATTATTTGCCGACTCCAGGGTGAACTGGTTTAATCCAACATGTCAATGGTTTGCTAGTTAACCCAGTGCAGGGCATTGATCATATAGATTCATTTATGCTTTTGAGGCTGTAACTTGCTAAGAATCAGCCAGTACCACTGGATGAATATAGCTTACAGAGGTGCTGAATTCCAAATTACAGCATCCCTTGGACCTTGGGAAAATATGGCTCATTGATGCCTGTAATATTAGGTATGCTGGCTTTTGCAAGATGCATAATAAAATGGAATTCTAATTAAGGTTTTATTTGTGGGAAAGATTGATTATGGCAGACAAATCAATGCATAGATTATTTTGGCAATAAGGGAAAACTTTAATTTGTTCATTATGATAAAATTCAGGTTATCATTAATTTTTAAAAATGTCCATAAACCCACCATCATCCTGCAATTATTTTCATGTTTGTATGTTTCATTTACCTGCATAGATAATAAAGGGCTATCATAATGTATATACTATTTTATATTCTGCTTTCCTATGTTTCCAAATCTTCCCCCATTATCATTTTAACACATTATATCTTACTCTGTTGAGGAACAATAATTTAAACTGTTCTTTTTTTTGTTTTAATTTTATTTTGGTGTCATTAATCTACAATTACATGAAGGACATTATGTTTACTAGGCTCCCCTCTTCACCAAGTCCCCCCCACATCACCGTTCACAGTCACTGTCCATCAACATAGTAAGATGCTGTAAAATCACTACTTGTCTTCTCTGTGTTGCACAGCCCTCCCCATGCCCCCCCAACACTATACATGTTAATTGTAATGCCCCCTTTCTTTTTTTCCCACCCTTATCCCTCCCTTCCCACCCGTCCTCCCCAGTCCCTTTCCCATTGGTAACTATTAGTCCATTCTTGGGTTCTGTGCTTCTGCTGCTGTTTTGTTCCTTCAGTTTTCTTTTGTTCTTACACTCCACATATGAGTGAAATCATTTGGTACTTGTCTTTCTCTGCCTGGCTTATTTCACTGAGCATAATATCCTCTAGCTCCATCCATGTTGTTGC